AGATCCCTCTAGGAGTAGGTTCAAACCCAGATACTGATTTACGACAGAGTTAAAATGTTATTAATCAGAAACAGAAAACCAGATTCTAATAAAAGTTAATGTTGCAAGCAATCCGTTTTACTAAAAGTTTAGCATATAAACTGAAAAGGTAATATGTCAGTGTTATATTCACAACATGTGTGACCGAGAGGGATGGATGGACGGATGGACGGATGGACGGATGGACGGATGGATGGACGGAAAGACAGGCAGATATTTTAAGCATCCAGAGGGAAATTCAAAGCCTCCAGTAGTGGGGCGGATGTGGCTCAGTTGGTAGAATCACCACCTCTCAACTGGACGGTCAAGGGTTCGATCCCCAGCTGAGCAACATGTCGGATGTGTCCTTGGGCAAGACACTTAACCCTTAATTGCTTTTGGTGATGGTGTATGAATGGATTAGTGTTGTACTTACTCTCTGATGTACGTCATCTTGGATAAAAGCGTCTGCTAAGTGAATTGTAGAATTTTAGCAGCTTAGACACACATGACATGATACATTTGTTACATCTAAAAATGTCAAAAAGGCAAGTTCTGGGTGCTTCATCTCGTGTCTGATGAAGGGCGAGGGCCCGAAACGTTAAAAGTGATATTCCATTAAATTCAATTGAATTGGAGCAGCTTCTGGTATGCGGACTCAGAACTTTTTCTACATTTGTTACATCTAACAACACCTGAATAACCTGTTCAGGAGTAAGAATTGAAAACCTATGTACAATTTAACCAAACCTGTGACCTACGATTTAAAAACACTGGAGAAATGTGAATAGACCTACAGCTGCACAGCATCATTTATGTTGCATTTACATCAAGAAAGGCTTTTGGACAAATATGATGTTATGGCTACTGTATTTACCTTTGTATCGGTTCATGTGATTGGATATATTCACAGTATCAACGACAGAGCAAAGAGAACAAACAGAAGAGCAGAATGCACAAATGCTTCAGCACACAAACCTTTCTGGGAAACACATTTTAAAATTGCACGTGCAATCGACCCAGTTGGTGATTGATTTTTTGCAGTGGTTTAGAATCGGCTGATCCTCTGCATGGCAGTTTGACATCTGAGCGGTAGAGTTGTTGAGGCCAGTGCTTGGCAGAGTTGAATGGATGAAGTGGATCCCTGTGTTTTATCTTTTGCTCTTCGGAGGTGGAAACTATGGAGCATATATTTTTCTGATCGTTCGTACAGTAAAATATTTTTGAGCTGATGTCCACAGCTGGTTGTCCTTAAAGATTGATAACATAGAGTCTATCATATGTACACATTGCATGCTCAAGGGGCTTTCCTGAACCTGTGTCGAGAGCTAAATGAAACCTCCCAACAGTCAATCAGAGCGATCCCCCTCACCAATCGCCAACGCTGATTCAACATGTCGAATCGGCCATAAAAAGGTCAACGGGTAGCGACAGTGCCAAACACATCGCTAAAACTACAACAACAAGGACCGACGGCCATCCATCTCCTTGGTGTGTCGTGGCCTTATCTCAGCCTGCTAGAAATGCAAACACGATGTAAATGATATTTATCCAACCTCATTAAACTCTGCAAGTTTAAGAAATTTGCTGAGCCCAGTTCAAACAGAAGAAACTTAATGAAGAATTATTTATTTAACAATTTAGAAAATAAATGTGCAAATTGATTGGGGATTAAACTCTATCATGACGACTTCATGTACTCAGAGGGGTAGTGAGACTGACAGCAGGATAGGATACCCCCCCATGGAGTCTAGACCCTGGTGGTGATACCCCTCTCTGGAGTCTAGACCCTGGTGGTGGTGGTGATACCCCCCTATGGAGTCTAGTCCTTGGTGGTGGTGGTGATACCCCCCTATGGAGTCTAGTCCCTAGTGGTGGTGGTGATACCCCCCTATAGAGTCTAGACCTTGGTGGTGATACCCCCCTATTTGGGTTTAGACCTTGGTGTGGTGGTGATACCCCTCTATGGATTCTAGACCCTGGTGGTAGTGGTTATAAACCCCCTTTGGAGTCTAGTCCCTGGTGGTGGTGGTGATACCCCTCTATGGAGTCTAGACCTTGGTGGTGGTGGTGGTGGTGGTGGTGATATCCCCCTATGGAGTCTAGACCTTGGTGGTGGTGGTGGTGATATCCCCCTATGGAGTCTAGACCTTGGTGGTGGTGGTGGTGATACCCCTCTATGGAGTCTAGACCTTGGTGGTGGTGGTGATACCACCCCCCCATGGAGTCTAGACCCTGATGGTGGTGGTGATACCCCCCTACGGAGTCTAGACCCTGATGGTGGTGGTGATAGAAGAATACAGGATGTGATGAGGAGTAGGCAGGAGATACAGATTAGAACTCGACCGATTTATTGGCCAGCTGATAATATCGGCCGATATTAGCACATCCAGTGACTATTGTATCGGCTAATTTTATCTCAGATATGCACCGATATAACTCGATCTATTCTCCAGTCAAATAGCATTTAATTTGAGTTTCATTGTATTACACTAGCAGTTCTCTTTCACCAGCAGAGGGCGCTATATGGACTACAACAAGTATTATCACTCTCCAGAGTGTTAAGTGGTGATGCATGTACATGAGCAGTTACTTTCCAGTTGAGTGAACATCTGTTCTTCATTATTTATCTTTCCACAAGTGTGTGATAACTGCATTTTAGGGATCAATGCAAGAAATGTGTATATCCATATCTAGCTCTACAGATCAAACATAGAAGATATCTGCACATTTATGTCATCACTATCGATGTCGGTATCGGCCCCAAAAATCTCATATCGGTCAGCCCTAATACAGATTACCAAAAGCCAAGTCCAATAGGTTGAAAAATGTATTTTATAACTCAGGCCATCAAGCTTCTGAACTCTAATGATGACCCTGATTACTGAACATGGGTTTTTATTCTGGTTTTGATGATGGCTTTATGGACGTTTTTATACATTCTCAGTTTCCTGTTTTTACTTGATTAACTTTGTGTGTCCACTACTAAATTCAATCAACATTGGCTGTGTCTGAAATCCATCACTATTCACTATTTAGTCCAATACAGCGGCTGTGGATTAGTGGCAGAGTCTGCCGTCTCTCAACCAGAAGGTCGATCCCCGGCTCCTGCAGCGACATGTCCGATGTGTCCTTGGGCAAGACACTTAACCCCAAGTTGCTCTACTTATACACATGAATGTGTATAAGTACTGATGGAAACTTTACTCAGCAGCCTCTGCCATCAGTGTGTGAATAGGTGTGACCTTCGTTGTAAAAGCACTTTGAGAAGTCAGGAGACTGGAAAAAAATATACAAGCTCAAGTCCATTTACCATTTAGAACTGTTGTTTTAAAAAGTGAGTATGGAATGAGTGTGCGATATAGGACACAATCTTTGTCCTCTCCTTATATTTGAATGTGTTTCTTGTCATTCCACCATCGGTCTCTTGATCAATCCAGTATAAATATCTGTCATGTTTTTTCCTTTCTGGTTTTGTACATTGCCTTGTGTTAAAAAAAAAACTAAAAAAAACAAACATAACTGTCTGTAAAGCATAGACCCTAAACACTATACGACCATCACCCCTCCTTTATACAAACCAATAAAAAGTGGAATATTTTGTTAGCATTTTTTCTTTTTGGGGGGGGTGGGGGGCGGGTAACAACGGCTCTTTATCTGAAAGGCTTGTGTATACTGCTTAAAATCAAATTAAGTGCTTTGTCTTTGCTGAGATCTGTTAGCAAAACAATGGAATGCAAATGGGGCCACATTTGAATAGAGGGGTTTCACACCTTTATCTCAGTGTAAGGAAGGCCTGCATGAGGAGATGGACAATTGGGCTCAGCAAATTTACTTAAACTGGCAGAGTCTAATTAGGTTGGATACATATCATTTACTGAGTGTTTGCATTTCTAGCAGGCTGAGATAAGAAACCACCGCTTGGTAAGACAATCTCAAAATAGGACCATCGGAAATGGAATTGTTTAATATAAATAAACTCAGCTCTGCAGAACTGTACCACAAAGGGTCTTTGGCAAACGTATTTCAACATCCTTAGGGACTCACTGAGTTTCCCTGAAACTCATCAAGGAATGAAAAGAAAGCAGACTGACTTTCTGCAAACAAACTTTGTCACTTTTAGTCTATTTTACTGTGTTGCTGAAGCCTATCATGTGTTATTTTCTAAAAGCCTAACCTCAGGGACAAGGACTGCAAATTAAAGCCATGGCCAGAAGTCCCATTGCATCGGTTATTCTTTAATTACACACATAAACTGAAAATGAATAAAACATGGGACCATTTGCATTTCTTGACTTTCTATTGAGAGCCCTCAAATTCTCTTTTATGAATACGATTGAGCAAATATGATGCAAGCTGCAGAATAAAGATGATTTTCCAAATTTCTCCCTTTTTTATTCCATTCAATTTAAAGAAATACAATAATTGTTGTCTCTATATTCACGATGCCAGCCTTAAACATGGGTTAAAAATGTAAGTGCAGTGGTAGAAAATGTCCCTTCCGATTGGCTAGAAGGATCCTGAAAACAGCTCCAAAATAGAAGTGTGTGTTGTTTGATGACTATCTGCCTTTCTAAACATGACCGGATATTTGTTTTCAGTTGAATGGATGCACTTTGGGGGGAAAAGCAAGGACCACCACACATGTGAATTCTTTTCTGTGGATATTTCTGGTAAATGTTCTATTGAATCAGTTCGGATCTTTCACTTTATCGGGAAACCTCCGTCATTACAAAGAGGAAAGCATGTTGTTCTCTGCGCCGCATGACTGGATGCATGCCAAATTCTTCTCAGTCAAACCTCTTTACACTGCACAACTCCAATATACGTCGCCTACCAGCATATAATTCGATCGTGCTACTATTTGGATGGCAGGACTTTTTATTTCTAAATAAAGTTTGTACCAGCAAGGCAGCAGCAGCAGAGTGAAGGGGGGGGGGGGGGGGGCGGTGAGTGGGGAGGCTCCCGGAGCGTTTTACACACTGGATAATTAAGCTCTTTGACTGACAGCAGAGTGCCAAAAGGCGCAGACGAATTCCGATTGGCCAGAGCGAACTTTACAATCTCCTCTTGTTTCTAAGCTGAGCGCAGGCAGAGCGCTTTTCCTCCGCAAACACTGGCCGAGAGTATAACACGCAACAGAGGTGCTCGGAGGGGCTGAAAGCTACGAGTTCACCCAAGCAAGAAGATCGATCTGCACAGTGCGGCTTTGTTTCGTATTTGTTTACTGTAATAACTTTGAGTTTGTAGTTGAAGTGACGCTCGAATCATCCGTGCGTGCGAGCCGTACCGAGCCGTACCGAACTGCTTTTATTGTGCTGTGGCCAAAAAGAAAGCATGACTTCTGCTCCTGTGTCGCTGTTGAGAATGATCCGTCTGGCGGTGACAGTGGCGCTCATATCGTCGTGTAGTGCGTCAGAGTACGAGTACCTCAGCTGGAAGTCGGACATGTACAACGGCGGACGAAGCTACGGCAAGCCTCCCCAGTGCGTTGACATCCCGGAGGACTTGCGGCTCTGTCACAACGTAGGCTATAACCAGATGCTGTTGCCCAACCTATTGGAGCACGAAACCATGGCCGAGGTGAAGCAGCAGGCCAGCAGCTGGGTGCCACTGGTGCACAAGAACTGCCACCCAGGCACGCAGGTCTTCCTCTGCTCGCTGTTTGCACCCGTGTGCCTGGAGAGGCCCATCTATCCGTGCCGCTGGCTGTGCGAGGCCGTGCGGGACGGCTGCACCCCCATCATGGAGTCGTTTGGCTTCCCCTGGCCGGAGATGCTCACCTGCGACAAGTTTCCCCAAGATGATGTGTGCATCGCCATGCCGCAGCCTAACGCCACCGAGGCCACCCAGCCGACAGGTAATCCACACTATACGAGTTTGTTTGTTTGTTTATTTATCATTACTCTTTAATCCCGGAATATAAATGTAAACAGGGAAGTTGATTTTGCTGAAATTGTTAGAGTGCTTTGCGTAAATATGAAATATGGGATAAAGTGTTCGTCCTGGTCACTGAGCAGTGAGATGGACTTCAGTGAGTTTTATGGAGAGGGGTCATCGTCATATATTCTCTGTCCTGTACTTAAACAAGTGGTGATATCCCCCAAGATGCAAGCGTTTCTGCAATTCATAAAATTTTTCAGAGTCTTCATTATTCAGCTGTCAATCCAAACTTGAATCAATGCACTGATTTACCTTGAGGCCTGTACATGAACAGCGGTAGACTTTATCACCACTTTGCAAAAACTAGTTTTATGAATGACGCAAACACATCTTCCTCCTTTATCTGTTAAGTTATATTTGTTTCGCATATTTCCAGTGGTGTAGTGGCCTAACAAATGGGTTATACTCTTAATTTTTCCCCAAATGTTTTTTTTAATTAGCAGAGGATAAACAGCTTCTCTTTATAAATTGTCATGTCATGTAAGACTACTCCTACATATTAAGTTTGTGTGTTCGAGCCAATCAGAGACAGAGTAGGAGAGTCATCCCTTCACCATCAGGGGAAAAAAACGAGCATACTACTGAATATGGTCAATCAAACAATGATGTAAATCAGAGGAGATTTAGAAGTGGTATAACCTGTATACCTGCGTATACCTACATTACACCACTGCATATTTCTAATATTTAAAGCACGTAGAACAGCTTGGAGTTCAAAGTGTCCTGAAAATAGACACTAAAGGGTTTATGTATTAAGTATCATTTCATGAATCAACATATCAGCAAATAGCATCCATGTAAATCTGCGAAATTTAGCACAAAAGCTAATCATCAAGAGAACAATCACTTTTTTAAATCATCACATAGCATGACCCCCTAATCCAAGACAAATGGAAAAGGTGAACTCAGTGTCTTTCATTGTAGAAACATCCCGCCAGGCCCTGAGATCAAGTATATCCCTCCTTGCATACCAAAATCCAATGATAAGAACTGTCTAAAAAAAACTAATTTGATCATTTTAAAGGTGAAAACTGCAAGTAAAGATGCACTATGTAGATTTAGTATTGAAATTTGAAAGTTGGAGAAGTGAAACAATTCTTTGTTATATTTTCTGAACTGAATACACAAACTTTACTCAAAGGGAAAAATGTGTCCCTGAACACTGTTTGGAGATATAAAGCTACCAGGAGAGTTACAATTTCACTGTTGCGGGCCCACCACAATAACTTCTCATGTATCATTTTATCTTCAAACAGTGTTACAGGGACCAAATTTTCCTCTGAAGACAGTTTGTGTTTAGAGTTATGAACATATAACACATAATCTGTACATTTCTCCAACTTTCACATTTCTCTACCTAAACTACATAGTGCACCTTTAATGTCACTTTAATCTTTGAATGACTTCAATGATGAATCTGTTATTTGACTGAATGTTATCTTAACTTCTCTGTTGGTTGTTGTCAAAGCAACCATAAGGACTCTCTTAATGTAACTGATAATTGGCTACTTGACTGAGAAAACAAACAGCCCCGGCTTTTGTCACGGTGTCAAAGTGGACACCCAAGCCCCTCAGTGAGAGGGGCTTGGGAATGTTGTTGCAGATGCAAATTCAAACACAAACAAAGACAACCTTTTGGTAGAAATGAGCTCTGATCCCAATATAACCACGTCACCCCCATCCTCCCGGGCTCTTAAAGTAATACAGTAGTACAGTCGTTTGTTTTACTTTAAAATGTGTAATGTTTAAAGAGAGTGTGATACCGCTAGCTGCTGACTTGGCTTAAGGTTATTTTTAAAAAGGTCGAGCCACTTATTACTTACAGGTTTTTGTTGAATTGGGGGACGATGCTTAGAGGAAGTCCAGCAGTGAGAAAAGTAAATACCTGCTTGGCCAAATTTTACCACATCCTCCTTTCTCACAGACTTGTAGCTATTTCACCGGTGATGGTAACGGTGTGAAGACAGAATTTGAATAAAAACAAAACGCTAATCGGTCCGACTTTTGTGTAGAATAGAGCTTGGGAGCAGCACGTTTCCCTTTGCGAGCCTGACACATTTGCACACTTTGGGTCTGCTTGGCTCAGCATAACTTCACCACAACATTGTCTGGGAATACGTTTCAGTGCCTTTATATTTAGCCTTTTATCTCTTTTGTGTGCAACTGTATGCAAATGAAACCAAGTGTATAGAGCTGGAGGTAGGGCTGGGAAATTAATCGAAAATTTATCAAAATCGACATTCTGAACCTCTGACTGACATAATCTTGCCCGTGTCGATTATTTCGATTATTTTCAGGATAGAGTCACTTGACGACATGGAAGCATTGTCCATCGTTTGGACACATTTTGTCTTTAGGGAAGACGACACCGAACAAAAATAAGTTAAATGTGAACACTGTGGAAAAAAATTGTTAACAAGAAATGCAAGTTATTTATTTTCTACTGTTTTAGAGAAGTTGATTTCTACTTTAAAACTAAAATGTGTCGTTTTCAATTCAAGCAATGCTTTGATTTCAGTTCGAAATATCCAATTAAATAACCACAAAATAGTTAATCAGATATGAACTCTTTCATTACAAAAACATAGGCCAGCTTTGATAGTTGAGCATATTTACAGTAGAGACCTCGTCAGTGAACTATGAGGGCAAAAAACAAAAACAAAATAATCGGTCATTAATCGTAATCGAGGTCAAATGTTTAATTAATCGTGACATTGATTTGAGGTCATATCGCCCAGGCCTATTTGTAGGTAACAAGTCATAAAAAAGTTACATTTAATAACAAATAATACAAACATTAAGCAACATATCTGAAGAAAACTTAACAATTGTTGCGGCACTTTTGGGGAAGCAAAAAGCCATCTGAAAAGATCCAGTAAAAGACTGCAGTTGAAACCATTTTCATAAAAATTATGAAGAAAGTGATGCAACATGTCTGTAGAAACTTAAAATGGCAATCACTAACTCAGTAATAGCTTCCAGTTGAAGCCATTTGGCCCGAGCAGCTTTAATTATGACAACTTCTGCATTTACGATGTGATGCTGATAAGCAGACCAATCATAACGATGTGGTCTGAGTCTGCACAATATTACGTTTTTGTTTTTTTTATTCTGGAGCATTGCATGTTGGACTCTGCAACCTCGAGGCTGGGTTCCAGGCAGAAGTAAAAAAAAATTGGTTTAATGCTGTGTCGTTGGGTGTTACATTGTCCAATAATGGCCTTTAAGCATGAACCTTATTGGCTGAGCTCACCAACACCAGAGAAACCCTGAGAAGTCCAAACCTAGTAATCTGGTGAAGATAAAGCTGATTCTGAATAGTTTAGGCTTCATGTCATTATCCTATGATTTGCCTTGGTTGAGTGAAAGCATCCAACTCACTCAAACCACAAAGTGGAGAGGAAAGTCCACCGTCCCATCATTGACTTCCCTATATATTCATGTCCAACTGAAAAGACACCGATTGAAGATTTTTGGCTGGAGAAGAAAGGACTGTGGATCTTTAAGCAATAACTCGGTGCTCATTGCGTCTGAACAGGGAACTCGTCCCACGTCTGTCTAGTACGTGTGTGTAGACGGAGTGGGTGTCACTGACGGCGGTGTGGACAGAAGCCCGTCGTTCTGAAAAACATTCCCGTCTTCTGGTTTTCAGACATCTCTTGTTATATTTCGCTGTCAGCACTTGTTCATTTTGCAGGACTGAATTTCATGCTCTAAAGTTAGAGAACTCTATATCAGAGATAAATTATGCCAAAAGGTTTTGAACTAAAATATCTAAATTAATTCAAAATGGACTAAACCTGTTATATATTTGTTTTTGTTGAGTACTTACATTACCTCAAATATTTCCAACACTTATGAAAGCCAGAGAAGTCTGTAATTTTATAGTTGTAACGGGACGTGTCTTGTCACAGTGGCCGCCATGACAGACACAACATGTTTAGAGTTGCCATGGTACTGTTGCTGTATGTGCTGCTGTGATAAAAAAAAGTCATGTGAATAATACTCGGATACATCGTCGGTAAACTTGTTCTCTTTCTCAGGTCAACATGGAGGTTGTTTTAATCAGGGGTTGAGGGGGAGTAGCAGAGAGAATCAGTCCCATGATTCCCCGCCAGCCTCAACGTCATCTTTTGTTATTGTTTCGATTGAGAGCCCCCTGGCGAAAGGAATTTCATTTTCAATAATCTCTGGGAAGGGTGCGCTAGTAGCCCAGTGGTCAGTGCGCTTCCCAAGCATTTAGGCTGTGGTCCTTCCAGCGGCGGCTGGGTTTGAATCCGATCTGTCGCTCCTTTCTTACATGTCACCCCCAACTCTCTCTCTCCCTGCTTTCTGACTCTATCCACTCTCCCCCCCTCTAAATCAAAAGCCCAAAAATGAACCTTCAGGAAACAAAAAAATCTCTAGGAAAATGTTTCAACTGATCTGGAGCTTTAAAAAAAAAAGTCGAACAAAGCAGCCTAATCTACTCAGCTCTTATTCTAAACAATTGTTAATCGAGGTCAACAATTCTCACCCCCACCGCCAAATACATGCTGATGGTCCGTTTTTGAGAGGAGCGCCTGGCATTAATAGGGGAAGGGGGACGTATAGAGACTCTGTAAACAGTGTCTGTTTTCACAAGCTCTTTACACCTAGGTGAAACTTTCACAAGCTCTCCCTAAACACATGTAATTGACAACTGGTAACGGGGCAGACAGCTATTTGTTTTCCCTGCTTTTTCGACCCTGTGCTCAAATCCATCCACAAGCCACGCTGTGAAACTGAAGAGCAGTCGGTCTGAACTGAATGCTGCGGCATGTTGTGACTCAGCTGTTTGGCATTAAGAAATCATTTGCAGTATTAGGAGAACAAAATTGAGAAATGCTGTTGGTAAAATATGCAGATGCATCTCTAGGCTGCATTAGTCGTTGTGGAAAACATATTTTGGCTCTTTGTTTCCAGTGTGGTTTTATTCCCGAGCCAGCAGTTATTACCTTTTTTTTTTTTTTTTTTCGTCAGAGCATTCCTTGAAACAGGGACTTACCATTTTTTTTCTTCTACATGTCTTTATTGTATACACCACGTGCCAGAAAGAGACATTTTGATACAAGTGTTCGATTGTAACAGAGAATGAGGAAGAGTGTTTACTGCAGCTCTTAGTTACAGCTGGCCATAAAAGCTGAAGACATTCCTCACCGGGGTCAGGTCATCAGAGCGTACGAAGCACAAGAGACCAGGCATCTGACACCACACACACAACTGATGTCTGCATACACACAGAGAGGTTCAAAGTGTGGCAAGATTGTCCTGCTAAATAAGGGGGTTTTGTTTGTTCAGAAATAATTTACTTTCACTGTGAGGTTATCGTTCTCTTCATTCTTTTAACCACATCCTCAACATGAATACTTCCAATGTGAAGAAGGCCGTGATGTTGATTCAATGCTGAGTGTCTCTGCAACTTGCATTCTGTATTTTCGCCCATTTTCCAACATCTTTTTATCCCTTCTTTTTCCTCCAGGTTACTCTCCCATCTGCCCACCATGTGACAATGAAATGAAAACAGATGCCATGCTGGAGCACATGTGTGCCAGCGAGTTCGGTAAGCATCCGCCACAACATCTTTGTGCCAACGAAACACACACACTTCACTCCATTTACGCCTTGACATCTGTCACAGTGCTCCATGAAATCAGAGGAGAACTATGATGGCATTGCATCAATTATTTCTTCCGACCTAAAAGTTGCTTCACACCAGAAACATTTGATGTCGATCAATGAAGCTCATTGGAGTGGATTTAATTTTGGTCAGATGAACCATGGAGGACTCTGATGTTCAGTGACTAATGAAGGGGTTACAAAGGTGCTCTTAGAAGTTAATTGATCTGCTGTCTGGGTGGACTGTGTGTGTGTGTGTGTGTGTATGTGTGTAGTCACTTATTATCTAATAATGTCTGTTTAGATTTTTTTAAACGATTGATGTCAAGATATAATCAATAGTAAAGACTAAAGGCCCTGACACACCAAGCAGATGGCAATAAAATAGCGGCGACAAAGACCAACTGTGGCGTCGCCTCACTTCTTGGCCAAAAAGTTGTACTTGAACACACCGCAAAGACTACATCCGACTATGGCCAACCACCACGTACATTCTGCGCATGCGTGAGAGGAAATAACCCAGCAGGCGGAGGTAGTCTGTTGTTATGATAGGAGAAGACCATTTCACACCGCTGTCGGTCACCACTCGTATTATAGGTACTTATAATCGAGAATAATGTCTGATGAAAAGTTGAAAATGGTGCTGGCATTGTCAGCCCTTCGTCTTTTAGTGGAAAAAGAAAAGAAGAGGCGGAGGAGACAAATAAGGAGAAACATGGATCAATATTAAAAAATGAATGATTCACCAGTCAGACAACGAGTGCGCACAGGACCGTTCTCGAGTCTGATTTTAATACACAAGTCAACCAAAGTACACTCACACCTGTACATGCACATTACTTTTTTCTAGGGCCCGACCGATGTGGACGTTTTGGGGCCGATACCTATATCGATATTGGGAAGAGACATAATCACAAACTGATATCTTTCTTAGATCTATGTTCGATCTGTAGAGATTGATTGATATAGAGACACACATTTATTGTGTTGATCCTTTAAATGTAGTTATCACACACTTGTGAAAAAGATATAATGAGTGTTGAGTGATAATACTTGTTGTAATCCATATAGCGCCCTCTGTTTGTTAAAAGAGAACTGCTAGTTTAATACAATAAAACGTGTTAATGCTATTTGACTTCACCAGTCTAGTAATATCGGAGGATATCTGCGATCACATTTGCTGATACCGATACTCACTGGATATGCTAATATCGGCCGATATTATCGGCTGGCCGATTAAGCGGTCGGGCTCTATATTTTTCTGATGTATTCCTTTCTTTGTCTTAAAAAAAGGTATTCAACCATATTAATGGGCATCTAAGATGAATGTGTCCAAGACTCAAATGAGCATCCAAGAAAGTCAGTCTCTGTGGTATGTATACTTGAGTGTAGGGCTGGGAATCTTGGGTGTCTCACGATTCAATTCTATTTCGATTTCTACTCATGGGGTCACGCTTCGATTAAGAATCAATTTTCGATTCAAAACGATTCGGGATTCAAAGTCTATTTTTTAATTAGTACATACTTCAGGATCTGCTCCAGTCATCTGTTAAACTGGCTGAATTTCTTGTTGCTCCATTTGGCATTCTACTGAGTTAAAGAGCTAGCCTTAGAATTTAGCAGGGAGTGACTCATTAACCAAAAAGAATCTCGATTTTTACATAAATCGATTTTTGTAGTGTAACCAGTAGTTTCCCTTAGCTGGTTTGTGCAGTGCATCACATCAACCCAGAACAAGCCATGCAGTTTGAAAAGAACATGCGAACAAGATGGACATGTTTCCAATACGTAAAGGGAGGAAATGCAACATTTTACAAATAAATATAGCAAAAAAGTCTATCCTGTGTAAATGTGTCTCTGAGTCATGACTGTCAACAATAAGTGAGAAGCTCCAACTGGCTGTGTTGTTGTCAGAGCCGTGTTTACATGGACGGGACGGCCGGCTCCTCCCCTTGTGTATAAAAGCTGTTTTAGTCAAGAACTAGAGAGAAGAAGAACATACTCACTGATTATTTGAATGTCACATAAGTGTAGGGAAGCGTGAGGGGAGAGGCGTTGGAGGCGTGTCTCTGGAGGAGAACTGAGGTGTGGACAAACAGCAGTTTGTTTTGGTTTCATGCTGGTGCTCAAGGGCGACATCTAGTGGAAGTCACATATTCTTCCTTTAAAGATTTTAAGTTACATATCTTTGACAGATCGCCCTGTTGTTTGTGATTTGATGATTTGACTTGTTTGTTTCAGGTAATATAGTTTTAAGTATTGTGCATGAATAGTGAAAGACTTGAATAGGTCAAAAAGCTCCAGCAACACTTGTAGTATGAAGATCAGATTTTTTAAAAGTCACATATTCTGCAAACTACACTTCACCATGTTTCTCTAACACTAATATGTGTCTCTAGTCTGTCTACAAACCCCAAATTATGAGAAAAGTCCATCCTCTCCGTCTTCTGCCTGCTTCACTTTTCAGAAAATGTGTGCTCAAACAGGCTGTTTGGAGATTTTCCCTTCATGACATCACAAAGGGCAGTAGCCCCTCCCCCAGGTGGGTGACACTCCCACAGCTAGGTGTTTGTTCTGCCCTCTGAGTCTGCCTTCTCTCCGTAAACAAAAGGGCACGACGCAAGGAAGCCTGAGCCACATCCCCGTCCAGAGAGGGGGCGTGGTCAGGCACAGCTCATTTACATATTTGAAGCTACAGACACAGAAACAGCCTGTTCTGAGCAGGGCTGAAATAGAGGGGTTTATAGACATGATCAAATACAGGATCAGAGTGGATTTAGAACAAGAGACTTCACACACATGTTTTGGGGAGCTCTGAAACTTATTCAAACTGGTTGAAAAGGAGGAGAATATGTGACCTTTAACTTTATTAGACAGAGATGTCTCAGCTTGTGGCCTTCATCAGGGTCATGACACTCAACTATTTTGTTTTAACCCACCAATGAGAGGTGGTTAAGACCATTATCCTGATTACTCCTTGCTAGTTGTGACCTCACTGAAAGAGGATGGACATAATAGGTAGCAGAAGTTTACATACTAACAAAGCTGTCTTTATTATTCGACTAAGACCAATAATAGACATGATGGATAGATTTCCTGCTCTTGACCATGGGAAATAGGTCCAGAAAAACGCAGAGAGCCACGAGGAATGTATGAGTGACTTCACTCCAGTCTTTATTAATTTGTTTGGACCAAGCATGTGGTAAATATCTGAACCCTGGCAGTGAATAAGCATTTTTGTCCACAAGACTGCTAACTTACTGGAAGTTGTGAAATGTCTGTTCTCATTTGAGGTAACCGTAAAGTGTGAAGTCGTTTTTTTGTGTAACAAGGCATGTTTCCTATCAGTTTAACACAAGCATACTTGACTTAGGATATAGTTTGAACTCCATAAAAGGCGGACAATGCCACGGTGAGCTGTGACTGAAGTGGAACAAAGTGCTTTGTTTTCAGGAGATTATTTTATTTGGATCAGAAAAAGAAAAGATAAACATTCGACAAGGTTGCTACCAGCCAGCAATGAGCGTAACTGTGCATTTTAAGGGCGCAACCAATCACACTGCATCATGATGCATCTCTATAATGTATCACACAGCCAATAATTAAAACCATCAGTCAGATAAAAATTATCTCCTGTTTTAATTTAAACATGCTTTACAAAAATCTGAGTACAGCAAGCTGTACTATAAAAAGTTACATAATTTCAGTAACAGTATCTGTCAACCCTAATGAAGTACGTCAAGATTACAAACACAAATCAGTAGAAGTGAAAACAAGTAAACTTTTTTCATATGAGCTTCGACATTGATGAACATGTACCACATGCACACCGTTGATGTAGCTGGTGTGTGTGTGTCTTTGAGCTGGCCACAGTGTGTGTTGTTAGACAAAGAAACAAACGGGGAGGGTTTGTTTACGATTTATGGCGTCAGTTTTTTTGGACCAAACACAGCACTGAAAGCAGTGTTTGTGTATAATGGATATTTTTACAGATCCAGACCTTATAAATATTAATGGATGAAGTGACGTCACCCATCGTTCCTGCAGGGGGCTCTGGAGGATCAGCAGCAGCAGTCTCCATGCTGGAAATCCTGTCTCAGTCTAACTTTCAGTCAACCTAACGACAGGCTGAGAGCTGGAGCTGAGGCGGGGTTTAAGTCTCTTGACAAACTGTTGCACCGCTCTCGCCTGTCAATCAGGCCCTTCTAGTGCCTAACTATGGATAACTCTTATAGTTCATAAAATCAAAACGGAAAACTCACCCCCCGTACAGTGTGTGCCAGTGATGACAATAAATAATCAGACCAATATCGGTTTCAAACAAGGCTGTAAATATGTTTATTTATGCTGTGATGAATTGAATTGATGTGTATGTGGCTTCTGGGGCTCTTGGAGTCAGCCTCAAGCGGAAACTTGAAGAATTGCAGTTGTTTTTTCCACTTCTGCGCTGGATTCATTTTCCAACACCGGAGGTTGATGCTTGATACAGATTGAAGCAGGCTTTGCAGTAAACAGACTGTTTCCACATGCATCAACCAGCTGATACTTGTTAAATAGATGCAGACACAGTGGGACGATAAAAGTCGTTTGATATGAAGTAGTCATAAAACTGATATTTTAACACAAAAAACATGTCAAACATATTCTACAAAGACTGGAGTGTCTTAACGTTTGTACAGAGGATGTCTTCCTCTTAATATGCCTTGGACGGCTGTGGATCAGTGGTAGAGTTGTTGCCTCTCAACCAGAAGTTTGGAGGTTTGATCCCCAGCTCCTGCAGCCACATGTCCTTGGGCAAGACACTGAACCCATTTCTGCCGCTGCTGAGTCAGAATGTGTCTGAATGGGATATGTAATACTGATGGTCACTTCACACAGCAGTCTCTACCATCAGTGTGTGAATGTGTAGGTGTGACCTGCGGTGTAAAAGCGCTTTGAGTAGTC